GTGTGTGTGTGTGTGTGTGTGTGTGTGAGAGAGAGAGAGAGAGAGAGAGAGAGAGAGAGAGAGAGAGAGAGAGAGAGAGAGAGAGAGAGATGAAGAAAAGGGGACAAAAATGGACTCGAGTTTCCTATAGACTTTTCTGCGTGTCTTGAGTACGAACAATTGCTAGCCCGTGTGGAGCCATGGCGACATGTCGGTGTGTCGCAGTGTTGTTGTGGTCTCTCTTTCTTTCTCTCCCTGAACAACTGCAACCATGGCGACATGTCGTTGCGCCGCAACGTCGCTGCAGCGGGTCCACTTGTTTTATTTATTTTTATAACCGGTTAGACGCATGCTGTGGTAGGTCCCAATGAGGACTCTAGTGCAGACAGCGTCTGCCTCGCTGATGAGCAGATCAAAGGGTGGTGAAGGTACAACTGACGATAGGAGCCAGACACGACAGGACACCGTCAGGATACCCGTAGTGTTCCAGTTTCTACTACCCGAGGATGAGAGAAGGCTTAGGGCCGAAGCAAGGGCCAGACTGCAAGAGAGGCAGCAACAGCGGTAGAACGAGCGTTGGCAAGCGCAGCAGCTAGCGCAGTAGCAATGGCTACCTCTTCAGCCACTTTTGCTGCAAACTCAACTGGTCAGGGTCTGGGCATGTCGCCCAACTTGACCAGTTTGGAAGTCATCTCCAGTACATCAGGAGTTGGCACTAGTCAGATGGCGGACTCGCGGTTCAGCTCGCCGCCTCCACACACCCGGGAGCAGATGGAGCTCCAGCAAGTGGAAATAATTCGCTTAAGGCTAGAGGAGGAACTTAAAAAGGTTACCGACAGGGAAAAAGAAATTAGAAATAGAAGTACTAGACTTGAGAGTAGGGAGGCAGACAAAGCTGCATTAGAGGGGTTAGATGACTCGACCCTTGACAACACAGGAAAAATTCTGAAGGCGAGCATCCTGTCCATGCATGCATACATGGACAGCAAACTGGACGCTATCCAGGATACCCTAGACCAGATCCTGAACGCCATGCATAGGTCAGGAGTCAGGCCATCAGCTTTGCCATCGCTGCCATTCTCAGCGATGACAGGTCCGTATCCGCCTCTGTCTGGTACTACACCAAGTGGTACGTCAGCAACAGCCATGTCTCAGACCGTTGCTTCTTCATCTTTTGGTCCAGCGGCTGGAACTACACCACAACCGCCACCTGTCTCACCAGTGGGACAGCAGCAACCCTGGTACCCCAAGACCCCACTAAAACCACCTCCAACCTTCTCAGGAGATAAGAAGGATGAGGCGCTTGACACTTGGTTGAGAACGGTTCCATTGTAGGTCACGGCGAACAGGATGTCGGCAGACGAGGAAGTGATAACTGCTGCATCGTACTTAGGGGGTTCAGCAACTCGCTGGTTAAATGGACTGGTAGCTTCAAAAGGGTTCGGCAGAAACATGGGTGATTGGGCCAAGACACACATCGCCACTGATGGGCTATTAAAGCTTGATGCTGTAATGACCCGCCAAAACACGGACTGACAACACTGCTGATTTCTGGGATTTGCCGCTGGAATGAATGCCTTGCTGAAATTCCCGCATTCTGCTGTGATTTCCATGTCGGTGTGTGTGTGTGCGTGCCTGCTGGTTTGCATGACTGTCTGAGTGCTTGTCGGTTGAGTGTGTGACCCGCAAGGGTACTTGTTGTTTGCAAGGCCCGCAGGGCCGGTACTTACCTGTGGCCGTGTCTGTGAAGGTTGCAGGGGGGTAGACACTCAAGTAGCGGGGGTACGCCCGCGACACTTAGAACAGGGAGAAAACACTCGAGTAGCAGGTAGGCCGGTACCACTCGAGTAGTGGTATGAATGTCGGGTACTGAAGGCTGAGCAGAAGAAGAAAAAAAGTTGGCATTTTTAGAAGCCCAGTAGCGGTAGGTTAGACGTAGGCCGGTACCAGTCCAAGTAGCCCGGGTCTAGGGCCTGTTCGGAGGTTAGCAGAGCCTGAAATGATGTTTCCCTCCGAAAGGGAGGAGGTACCGGTTGTTGGGAGGCCGCTCGGCCTAGGAAGTCACCGCCCAGGAGGCCGGTAGGCCACTATATCTCCAGGAAGAGCAAAGAGTTCTTCCTCATTTGCGGTGTGCAAGGATTGGCGACATGCTGCTGGAGCACAGCGCTGGAGTATGGCGCGGCTAGGAGGGAGAAGGGACCGCTGGAGCTCAGCCTGGCTATGGCGAGCAGTCCAGCTTGAGGAGGAGGAAGAAGGGGGCATGGTAGGAGAGTGGCGAGGCACTTACCTGGCTATGGTGGACACCGTCATCATCACCTTGTTGGCCGCTGCATCTAGAAGGCCTCGGTTGGGGTAGCGCTGCACCAGGGAAGTTCGAGGCAGAGTCAGGCATGGCGGACCAGCCACCAGCGGCATAGCTGCTCTTGGGTTGACCTTTGGACATCGGCAGCACCATAGCTGCTTTGGGTTGTCTTTTGTACAGGAGGGCAGGGCCCTCAACAGTCCGCCATAGCCTATGCATGAGAGGGAAGGCTGAAGGAGGGAAGGCTGATGGAGGGAAGCCATAGCTACGGAAGCCTTGTTGTTGTTGTTGTTGTTGTTGTTGTTGTTGTTGTTGTTGTTGTTGTTGTGAGTTGAGTCAGCAGTACGATGGAACTTCGGATATTGATTCTGGTTCATCAATTCATTGTTATTATTATTATTGAGAGAAGAATAAGATTGGCGGATTGAAGGAGGAGGAGGAAGGTGGAGAGAGAAGGGGGAATTGTTATTGGTCTTGCTGGTGTACTTTTTCTTCTTCTTCTTCTTCTTCTTCTTCTTCTTCTTCTTCTTCCTCTCTCCTCTGGTCTTTATCTCTTTGCAAGTGCTTTCATTTCTTTCGCAATTGGGTGGCATTGTCTTTCATTGTGAATTTGCACTTGGGAAATGACCACGATCGTAACAATTGGTATTGGAGCGGACTTACTTGCTGGCGAGAGGTGTTAGTCACCCTAAACCTAATTCCAAGTTAGTTTAGGGCAAACCTAATCTCGGATTAGGGTTGGAAGTTAGGGTTAAGTGGGGCAGTGAGGTATGTGGATACTGCCCCCACCTGGTTAGGTCATGTTGGGTCGACATTTGACCTGACCAGGTTGACTGAGTGAATGGATGGGGTGGCGAGACACAAAGGAGGCTGATTGGAGTAAGCGAGAGGGAGTAGAGAGTGAGAGGTACTCGCACCTGGAATCTGCACTTCAGGAAGACATTGAGTGACTTTTGGGCTTCCCCTCAAGAGGGAGACTTGATCGGAGGCTGCCATATCTGCATCGRAKWGCTGCAAGTTGCTACTTTGGTCTTCAGRCATCGACGGGGGATCCGGCTTTGCAACAGGGGTGTAGGAAGGCCCTCTTAGTCATGCTAGGACACTTCGTGTAGTGGTAGCTAGGGGTCAGGAGGACTTATATGAGAGGGGAGTGAGTCGTTATCCATCTTTGGAGGCTGGGCCTCACAGGTAAGTGCGGTGTGACCTGGGTAAGCCCTTGGGAGGTTGCTTGGTGCTTCATGGCCTGTTGGGGGTGGGCTGGGCTCTCCTCCTCTTCTCCGCGGTCTTGGCTGTGTATGTGAGCATGTGGATTGCTTTCTCACCTGATGGATGGATGGATGATGTATCTGTTCTTAATGACATATCTTTCTACGGTGCAATGTCTTTTCATTTTTGAATGGTAGTAGGGGTAAGTTCTTGCTAAAAGTTGTCTTTTCCTTTTCAGTACGGTAAAGGCAGTTGGGACCGACGTGGTATCCCTATCTCGTTGGACCTGGTCCACGACCTACTTGGGACCTTTTGGGACTCAGTTGGACCAGGCCCAACGGGACAGTACATTTCGGGCCCAAATCGGTTGCCGCCTGTGCATCTCTTTGTTGCGCTGAACTTGGGGGACATACGGCTAGCAAGGGCATTCCTTTCAAGGGGATCTTGACTGGTCTTACCGCCTGTTATCACATACTGCCCCGCGTTTGACTCGGCGACCGTCTGCACCCCTTGAAATCTCCATTGCTGCAATTAGTTTTCTTCGGCTGATTTATCGTGATGCATGTCCCTTGTCAGGTTAGCCAAGAGGGGATCTCCAGCTGATCTGATCGGGCCCATTCTATAAATCAGTCCTCTCTTCTGTTTTATTTTTTAAAATTATTTATTTATTATTTTATTCTGCTGTGTGCCATTCTCTAAGTCCAAATGATTCGCCGCTCCGGCTAGGAGTTCTACCTTCTTCTCTGTGTGACTTTCAGTTTGTTTCTTTCATCCGAACTATCTATGTCCGGTATCGAGACGCGTGAGCAGACAACGAGAAGAGAAGAAAGGGAGAGAGGTGTTCTGTTTGAGAGTGTGAGGAGGGGCAAGAGGAGTGTTCGTCCAAACGTAAGGAGAGAGTGGACCCCTCTTGAGAGATTTGCGGACACCCCTTCCTCCGGCATGGCACTCATCACATCTGCCCAATGGCAGGCCATGCTGGACGCAGCAGACGAGAACGATAAACCGTCCTTCCAAAAGCTTTATGACGACGCCGTGCAGAAGGAAAGGGAGGCAGAGACAGCAGCCAGAGCCACAAGCATAGCTGCTCAGGTGGCCCTCCTACAGGGCCCGGAAGCCAACGCTGACCGGTTCCAGAAGAGGCTAGCTGCTGCCGTAGCAACCTTGGTTCAACTGCGGAACTTGGAAGACCTTGAGTCCCGTGTAACAACGCTGGAGCAGCGAAACCAAGAACTGCAGGCTGAGATAATCAGCCTCAAACAGTCCGAACTGTCTGCCCCCCGCCCTCCTAACCCTCGATCTGTTGTGGTCCCAGTCTCTCAATCTAACGCAGTCCTCGTGGCAAGGACAAGTGGAACTGTGTCAAGCGCAGGAACCGGTGCCAGCTCCTTGAGCGGCAGCGCCGGCAGTTATGCGCTAGTCATAGTCCCAAATGCAGGGACATCAGCCCAAAACGCCGCAGTCCTTACTGGCGTTCAGTACAGCGGTCCCATGGTGGACAAGCGGGCGGCCACTCTGTCGTCCAAGTACGACGGGAAAGCGGACATCACCTCTTGGATTAGTTCCATGCGGTCGTACTTCGAGGTCATGCGGACACCGCAAGAGGACCGAAGTATGATCATGGGGACTAATATTGAGCCCGCCGTACGGAATCACATTGAGCTCCAAGTTGTTGTTGCAGGTTATGAACGAATTGACCTGACTGAGTGGCTGAAGGTAACCCCTGTACTCACCCTTGAGGACCTTCTCCTCGCATGGTACCAAGACAAGCATGTTGCGCTCAAGGCTAGGCTGAAGCTTGAGGCCCTCAAGGGTCAAACATGGAGGTCCTCCATGCAAGCTTTGGAACAGCACTTGACCGGTTTGTTCACTACGGATCTAGTCAACCTAGAAGCCAAGGACCTCGCCAGGCGGAAGAAGGCGCCTGCTGCAGGTGGGAAACCACAACGCAAGCGGTTTGGAAGCAGCAACCAGCTTGCACTGCATGATCATCGGGAGGCTGAAGAACAGTCCTATGCGGATGATCTGTCTCTGGATGACGATCTAGAGCCGGACTCCGATATGGGCTGTTCCACATCAGCCATTGAGTCTGACGTCAACGAAGATGAAAAACTGAATGCTTTTAGAAAGACTGCTTCAAACAAGGGGCCTAACCGTGGTTCAGGTAAGGGAACTGTTGTCCACCTCCCAAAGAACGTGAAGATCCCTGAGAAACCGGAGGATGCATCTACCAAGCCTTGGGAAGCCCTCCGAATCAGTCAGAAAGAATGGGAAAGAAGATCTAAACTGCGCATATGCCTGCATTGTCAAAAGCCTGGGCATGCTGTGCAGGACTGTTTTCGACTGCAGGGAAACAAGCAAAGGGCGTAGAGGCGTCCTCAGCACTCCCTACAACAAGGGAAGCTGGAACATCGGTTGCAAGCCCCTCCGATGAGTCTGAATCTGATCAACAGCCCACTCTTGAAGCCCAGAACGACGCTAAATCCAAGGCTGCTGCAATTCATGTGTTATTCACAGAGCCTTGGGAGGAGTCTAAGGAAGTTGACTTCCACGCTCACGTAGAACACTGGCTGCAGCTCAAGCAGCAATGCCGTGTTCAAGGGAGTGTGGAGCTAACCTTCTTTAAACTGCTCTTAACCGCCGATACATCCGCGTGCTGATTGATAGTGGTTCAACCACTGACTTCTTTTCTTCTAACGGGATTCGTAAGGCGGGCCTGGGAATGAAGCAAGTGGAACTGCAGAACCCTTGCCAGACCCAGGTGGGCAACCAAGAGGTTGTCACCTCTACACATGCTGTCAATGGTGTGCGCGTCACCTTTGACAATGACCGCACTGTCACACATGAGCTCAACTTCTATGTCATGGACAAGTGTCCGTTCGACGCGGTCATTGGCTTGGGCTGGTTAAAGGCTCATTGCCTAAGAACCACGTGGGCGGACAATCAATTCGTGGTGCGTGATGCCAAGGGGAACGAGCATACCGTCCTATTGGATGAGACGTGCGAGTCCCCTGTGACTCTTTTAAGTGCAACCAAATTCTGCAAATCAATGCGCAGGCGCAAGGAAATTGAGCATGCACATATGTAGCTTTTGTAAAGCCTCTCCATGTGCCTTCTACTTTTGCTGCGTTTTCTACCTCGGTAAGTAACTCTACTTCTACCACCTCTAATTCTAATCCATCTACTTCTACTGTGAATAATCCCTCTACTTCTAATCCGGTTGTCATTGCTGTAAATTTACAGTCTAATTTTCTTTCTCCTGATGAGGATGATCCTCCACCGGAAGTCCCAACCAACATTCGCCAGCTATTAGATCAATTCCCTGAAGTTTTGGACGAGGTTTGGACGAACCTCGTGAAGTTCCCGAGCGTCCGGTCAAACACAAAATCGAGATAACAGAGGGAAGTGTTCCTCCAAAGGGTTGCGTCTGCCATATGGGGCAAGGCGAGTTGGAGGAGTTGAAAAGGCAGATTGATGATATGATTGATCGTGGATGGATTAGGCCTAGTGAGTCTGAGTTCGGTGCACCTGTCCTGTTTGTGCCGAAGAAAGGAGGCAAACTCCGGATGTCTATTGACTATCGTGGGCTCAATCGAATCACCCAAAAGAATGCTTATCCTTTGCCTCGCATAGATGATCTGCTGGATGCGGCAAGTGGATGCAAGGTCTTCTCCAAGATCGACCTCAAATCTGGTTACCACCAGATTAAAGTAGATCCGAGTGACCAACACAAAACTGCATTCAAAACACGCGATGGGTTGTACGAATTCATCGTTATGCCCTTCGATCTTACGAATGCACCGGCCACATTTCAGTGCCTCATGGACAAGGTACTTCGCCATCAACTCAACAGTTTTATGGTTGTGTACCTTGACGATATCCTGATTTTCAGCAAGTCCATGAAAGAGCACGTCAAGCACCTTGAGGAAGTTTTGCAGGTCCTCAAGGAGGCGCAACTGCACCTCAACTTAGAGAAATCTGAGTTTGGAAGGGACAGCGTCATCTATCTTGGACACTGGTTGTCTGCAAACGGCCTTGAGCCGGAGGCAACCAAGGTTAAGGTCATCCGAAACTGGCCTCAACCAGCAAATGTACGCGAACTGCGTTCTTTCCTTGGTTTGGCCTCATATTACCAGAAGTTTGCGCCCAAATTCTCTGTTGTTGCTCACCCTTTCTCAAGACTAACCAGCAAGAATGTTGCCTATGCATGGTGTGAGAAGTGTGAGACTGTGTTCCAAGCCTTAAAAGAGGCATTGGTGAGTCATCCTGTGCTCCGCATTGCGGATCCCAACCTCACATTCGTAGTCACTACGGACGCGAGCCCGTTTGGGATTGGTGCAGTGCTGCAACAAGATGATGGTGATGGCCTGCGTCCGCTCGAACACTACAACAAACGCATGCCCAGCCACAAGGTAGCTACCTCCACATACATGCGTGAGCTCTACGCCCTGCGGGATGCGCTCACACATTGGAAGCACTACCCCTTGGGTCGTCACTTCAAGGTCTACTCAGATCATCAGACCTTGCAGTGGATTAAGACACAAATTGATCTCTCTCCAACGCTGACCCGCTGGTTGCATGACATTGATGTGTACGATTTTGAGTTGAAACATAAGACAGGCTGTTATAACCGGGTTGCTGATGCATTGTCTCACCATCCTGAATTCTTGACTTGCCTTGTGGGTTCCTACGACCTCCGAAGGAAACTGAAGGAGGATCTGGTCGAACACACCGCCAAGGATCCGGACCTTAGTCCCATCCTTGAGCAGCTCAAGGCTGACCCTAACAGTCAGCCTGATTTTCGTGAATGCGAGGGTCTTGTGTTCCGCCGGTATGGGAAATTTGATCGTCTGTGTGTACCTAACCATGCGCCTCTCCGAACTCATTTCTTGGATTTGGCACATGGTCGGAGTGGACATTTCGGTTTTGAGAAAACTTATGGAAGTCTTCTGCAGCAATTTGATTGGCCAGGAATGAAAGGATCTGCTTAGAAATTTATTGTTGAATGTCAGGTATGCCAAAGAACCAAGGTCCACAGGCATAAGCCTTATGGCCTACTTAGACCTCTCCCCATTCCTGATGGACCCGGTGATTCGATTTCCATCGACTTCACGAACATGGGAAAGGTGAGTGAAGCACGGAATTCACAGGTCATGGTCATAGTGGATCGTTTCTCCAAATTTCTGAATCTGATTTCTTTCCCTCCCCATGCCCCAACCGAGCTTATCATCGAAGAATTTCATCAGCAGTATATTCTGCAGTACGTCCACCCGAAAACCATTGTGAGCGATCGGGACACCCGATTCATCAATAAAGATTGGAGGGACTTCACGTCTCAGATCTACGACGTTAAGCTGAACAGGACCTCTGGTCGGCACCCTGAAGGATTGGCTGAGGAGATCAACCAGACTGTCATCCAACTACTTCGCGCGCTGATTGTTCCAGATTAGAACACATGGGATAAGGAGTTGCACAAAGTGAAGGGGTTGTACAACAACTCCATTCACTCTGCAACTGGTGTGACACCAAACCAGCTGCAATATGGATGGCCGATGCGCAATCCCCTCTCCCATCTGTTCCCTGAGCGGTCACCTGGTTTGATGCCCGGCATGCCTGGCTACAATGCCAAGTACGCACGCTTGCTCAAAGTTGTCATCGCAGCCATGAACAAGCGTCAACATGCCATGATCAAACATGCTAACAAGCTGCGCAAAGAAGAGAAATTCAAAGTAGGGGATTATGTTTGGGTCAAAATGTCTGAGTTTTTTGATGAAGAGGGTGTATCACGAAAACTTCTTCCCTTGTACTATGGCCCGTGGCAGATTCTGAAAGTGATTGGGGATGATTTCGATCCTTCATTTGTGATTGACGTGCCTCCTCATCTGCGCACGTATCCGGTTTTTCATTCGTCTAAACTATTCCCACACATTGATGATGAGACATTCCCTTACCGTGACCCTATGATACCTCGCCCTATCGACGGTGGCCATGAGATAGACAGAATCGTTTCTCACGAAGGAAGAGGGAGGAACAGACAGTACAAAGTTCACTTCCTCTATCACTCGTTGACTGAATTCTTCTTGATCGACCGGAAAGAGCTGCTAAAAAATGCTCCCCGTGTTGTGAACGCTTACGAAAGACAGATCGTTGAGGGACAGACTGCTAAGTTCGTTGCAACAATGACTCCTCATGGATTGACTAAGTCTCTCTTTATGATGTACTCCTACGATGCGTTCTGTGGGGACTCTGACTGAGTTACTCGCTCGAAGGGACCTCGCTCTCGAGAGGGGAGTAATGTAATGACCCGCCAAAACACAGACTGAGAACACTGCTGATTTCTGGGATTTGCCGCTGGAACGAATGCCTTGCTGAAATTCCCGCATTCTGCTGTGATTTCCATGTCTGTGTGTGTGTGTGTGCATGCCTGCTGGTTTGCATGACTGTTTGAGTGCTTGTCGGTTGAGTGTGTGTACTTGTTGTTTGCAAGGCCCGCAGGGCCGGTACTTACCTGTGGCCGTGTCTGTGAAGGTTGCAGGGGGGTAGACACTCAAGTAGGGGGGGTAGGCCCGCGACACTTAGAGCAGGGAGAAAACACTCGAGTAGCAGGTAGGCCGGTACCACTCGAGTAGTGGTATGAATGTCGGGTACTGAAGGCCGAGTAGAAGAAGACAAAAAGTTGGCATTTTTAGAGGCCCAGTAGCGGTAGGTTAGAGGTAGGCCGGTACCAGTCCAAGTACCTCGGGTGTAGGGCCTGTCCGGAGGTTAGCAGGGCTTGCAATGATGTTTCCCTCCAAAAGGGAGGAGGTACAAGTTGCTGGGAGGCCACTCGGCCTAGGAAGTCACCGCCCAGGAGGCCGGTAGGCCGCTAATCTCTAGGTTGCTCTTCCTCATTTGCGGTGTGCAAGGATTGGCGATATGCTGCTGGAGCACAACGCTGCTAGGAGGGAGAAGGGACCGCTAGAGCTCAGCCTGGCTATGGCGAGCAGTCCAGGTTGAGGAGGAGGAAGAAGGGGGCATGGTAGGAGAGTGGCGAGGCACTTACCTGGCTATGGTGGACACCGTCATCATCACCTTGTTGGGCGCTGCATCTAGAAGGCCCCGGTTGGGGTAGCGCTGCACCAAGGAAGGTCGAGGCAGAGTCAAGCATGGCGGACCAGCCAGCAGCGGCATAGCTGCTCTTGGGTTGACCTTTGGACATCGGCAGCACCATAGCTGCTTTGGGTTGTCTTTTGTACAGGAGGGCAGGGCCCTCACCAGTCCACCATAGCCTATGCATGAGAGGGAAGGCTGAAGGAGGGAAGCCATAGCTACGGAAGGCGTGTTGTTGTTGTTGTTGTTGTTGTTGTTGTTGTTGTTGTGAGTTGAGTCAGCAGTAAGAGGGAACTTCGGATATTGATTATGGTTCATCCATTCATTGTTATTATTATTATTGAGAGACGAATAAGATTGGCGGATTGAAGGAGGAGGAGGAAGGTGGAGAGAGAAGGGGGAATTGTCCTTGGTCTTGCTGGTGTACTTCTTCTTCTTCTTCTTCTTCTTCTTCTTCTTCTTATTCTTATTCCTCTCTCTTCCGGTCTTTATCTCTTTGCAAGTGCTTTCATTTCTTTCGCAATTGGGTCGCATTGTCTTTCATTGTGAATTTGCACTTGGGAAATGACCAGGATCGTAACAATGCTAGGAAGTACAAGTCAGTGCGAGAGCTTACCACAACCGTAGAGCGGTTGATTGTCGTCCCTAGGGT